GAGAGGGAACCTTCTTCTCTGAGGCTAAAATGACATGGACAAGAATTGACCAAATCTGGGTAACTAGAGGACTGGCTCCAAAGATTAGTAAAGTTGAAATTTGCCCCAAGACCAGCTCTGATCATAATGCTGTGAAGATGGAAATGAAATTAATGCCAACTGGTTCCTTTAGATGAATGACTCTTTGTTTAGGAATGATGACTTTACTAAAAAGGCCCAAAAAACTTTGAGAGATTATTTTGAGATAAACATGAACACTACAGTGGAAAAAAGAGTAATCTGGGATGCAAGCAAAGCCGTCATGAGAGGTTTTTTGATACAACAGAACGCAATTAAGAAGAGAATGCAAAATGAGAAAAAATATAAAATTTTGGAAAAAATAAAGGAAGGAGAGAAGAAACTGAGGGCGAAACCAAAGTCTCAGGAGATTTTGAAAGAAATAAAGTTATATCAAGTACAATATATGAAAATGATGAATCAGGAAATAGAATGGAAGATTAAACAGATGAGACAAAAGACATTTGAATCGGCAAATAAGTGTGGGAAATTGTTGGCTTGGCAGTTGAAAAAAGACAAAAATTAAATACTATTACGAATTTGGAAGTGGAAGCGAAGAATATACAGAATCCAGTGGAAATTAGAAAGTGTTTTCAGAGGTATTTTAAACAACTATATACACAGGAAAAGCAGAATGAAATGGACATTGATAAATTTTTGAAAATAAATGGACTACAAAAAAATTCCCAAGAAAATACCGTATTTTTCGTTCTATAGGACGCACCGGCCCATAGGACGCACCTCGTTTTTTGGGGGGGGGGAATGAATAAAAAAAATTATTCCCCCCCGCCGCGGCTGCCGCCCCAAGCCTCGCGTGCTTCGGGCTGCAGGCTACTGCCCCAAGCCTCGCGCGCTCGGCGGGACCTCCTGCCGGGCGCGCAAGGCTTGCAGACACTCGCCCGAAGCACGGGAGCCCTCCGGAGGGCTCCCCGTGCTTCGGCGACAGGCTGCCGCCCAACGCCTCGCGCGCTCGGCGGGACCTCCTGCCGGGCGCGCAAGGCTTGCAGACACTCGCCCGAAGCACGGGGAGCCCGCCGGAGGGCTCCCGTGCTCGGCGACAGGCTGCCGCCCCAAGCCTCGCGCGCTCGGCGGGACCTCCTGCCGGGCGCGCAAGGCTGCGGACACTCGCCCGAAGCACGGGAGCCCTCCGGAGGGCTCCCCGTGCTTCGGCGACAGGCTGCCGCCCCAAGCCTCGCGCGCTCGGCGGGACCTCCTGCCGGGCGCGCAAGGCTTGCGGACACTCCCGAAGCACGGGAGCCCTCCGGAGGGCTCCCCGTGCTTCGGGCGACAGGCTGCCGCCCCAAGCCTCGCACGCTCGGCGGGACCTCCTGCCGGGCGCGCAAGGCTTGCGGACACTCACCCGAAGCACGGGGAGCCCTCCGGAGGGCTCCCCGTGCTTCGGCGACAGGCTGCTGCCCCAAGCCTCGCGCGCTCGGCGGGACCTCCTGGCGGGCGCGCAAGGCTTGCAGACACTCGCCCGAAGCCTCGCGCGCTTGGCGGGACCTCCTGCCGGGCGCGCAAGGCTTGCAGACCCTCACCCGAAGCACGGGGAGCCCTCCGGAGGGCTCCCCGTGCTTCGGGCGACAGGCTGCCGCCCGAAGCCTCGCGCGCTCGGCGGGACCTCCTGCCGGGCGCGCAAGGCTTGCAGACACTCCCCCGAAGCACGGGGAGCCCTCCGGAGGGCTCCCCATGCTTCGGGCGACAGGCTGCTGCCCCAAGCCTCGCGCGCTCGGCGGGACCTCCTGCCGGGCGCGCAAGGCTTACGGACACTCGCAGGGGCTGCAGGCTGCTGCCTGCAAGCCTTGTGAGCCCGCGGGAACTCCCACCGGGCTTGCAAGGCTTGCGGATAGCTTCCTGAAGCCTGGAGAGCGAGAGGGGTCGGTGCGCACCGATGCCTCTCGCTCTCCAGGCTTCAGCAAAGCTGCATTCGCCCATAGGACGCACACACATTTCCCCTTCATTTTTTGGAGGGGAAAAAGTGCGTCCTATGGAGCGAAAAATACGGTAAATTAATGCTGGATTACAAAATAACGGATCAGGAAGTAGAAGGGGCCATTCAGAATATGCAATTGGGTAAATCTCCAGGACCGGATGGACTGACTTCTAGATATTACAGAACTTTGAAAGAATGGTTAATACAACCATTAAAGGAAGTCTGTAATGAAATATTGGAAGGGAAAAGGGCACCTGAGTCATGGAAGGAAGCATACATTACACTTATACCAAAATCAGAGTCTGAAAAGACGCAACTTAAGAACTACCATCCCATATCACTGCTTAACGTGGATTATAAAATTTTTGCAGATATTTTGGCTAAAAGATTTTAAAAAGGTGTTACGGAAGAAATTCATAAAGATCAAGCGGGCTTTCTCCCGGGCAGACATCTATCTGACAATACGAGGAATATAATTAATATTTTAGAAAAATTACAAGTGAAGATTAATACCAAAGCAGTTTTGATATTTGTGGATGCGGAGAAAGCCTTTGACAACATCTCTTGGAGTTTTATGAAGAAGAATTTATTGGGGATGGCGGTGGGTCAAGGTTTTGGAAACGGTATAAGTGCAATTTATTCAGAACAGAAGGCCAAATTAATTGTGAACAATGTAGTGACGGAAGAATTTAAGATTGAGAAAAGAACACGACAAGGTTGCCCAATCTCTCCATTGCTTTTTATATCGGTCTTGGAGGTTTTGTTAAATATGATTAGAAGGGACCAATTGGTAAAAGGTATACAAGTGGGAGCGAAACAGTACAAATTGAAAGCATTTGCTGATGATTTAGTATTGACTTTACAGGAGCCAGAATCTAGCACTAAAAGAGTATTAGAATTAATTCAAGAATTTGGTCAGGTGGCAGGTTTTAAGTTGAATAAGATGAAAACTAAGGTATTAGAAAAGAACTTAACAGAGATTGAGAGAGAGAAGTTTTAGAAAGAGACAGGACTGACACTGGTAAAGAAAGTGAAATATTTAGGGGTAAATATGACTGCCAAGAATGTGAATTTATTTAAGGATAATTATGAAAAATGTTGGACTGAAGTGAAAAAAGATTTAGAAATATGGTCAAATTTGAAGCTATCGTTGTTAGGCCGAATTGCTGTGATAAAAATGAATGTATTGCCAAGAATGCTGTTTTTGTTTCAAACACTGCAAATTTTGGATAAAATGGACTGTTTCAAGAAGTGGCAGAGAGATATCTCCAGATTTGTCTGGCAGGGCAAGAAGCCTCGAATAAAATTTAAGATATTAACTGATGCTAAAGAAAGAGGTGGATTTGCCCTGCCAGACAAATCTGGAAATATCTCTCTGCCACTTCTTGAAACAGTCCATTTTGTCCAAAATTTGCAATGTTTGAAACAAAAACAGCATTCTTGGCAATACAATTATGAATCAGCCACTTTTTGTTGGCTGAGAGAATGGATGCTTCTAGAAAATACAGATGTTTTGGATTTGGAAGGTTTCAACAATGTATTTGGTTGGCATGCATATTTGTGGTATGACAAGGTTAAAGCACACAAAGCGTTCAAAAACCATATCGTAAGAAAAGCACTGTTTAATGTCTGGATAAGATATATGGATTTGTTAGAAAAGAAAACCCCAAGATGGTTGTCACCAATGGAAGCAAAGGCTCAGAAAAAACTCAATATGGAGGCCAAATGGCCGAAGTATTAGGAAATCTTGGAACAAGAGGGAGACAGATTAAAATTGCAGAGCTTTGAAAAATTAAAAAACAGAGTACGAGATTGGCTCCATTACTATCAAATAATGGAGGCATATAATTTGGACAAAAAATTAGGCTTCCAGGTGGAAAAATCAAAATTGGAAACAGAATTGTTAGACCCTAAAGTTAAGAATTTGTCAAGAATGTATAACTTGCTGCTGAAATGGAATACTCAAGATGAAATGGTGAAATCTGCTATGATTAAATGGGCACAAGATGTTGGACATAATATTATGATGGCTGACTGGGAACAGTTATGGACCATTGGTATGAAGTTTACGGCATGTAATGCCTTAAAAGAGAATTTAATGAAAATGATTTACAGGCGGTACATAACACCAGTCAAGCTTGCAAAAATTTACCATTTGCCCGATAATAAATGTTGGAAATGTAATGAAACTGAAGGTACATTCTTTCACCTTTGGTGGACATGCCCAAAGATTAAGGCATTCTGGGAGATGATCTATAATGAAATGAAAAAGGTATTTAAATATACCTTTCTAAAGAAACCAGAGGCCTTTCTCCTGGGCATGGTAGGCCAATTGGTGCCAAAGAAGGATAGAACTTTTTTCATGTATGCCACAACAGCAGCAAGAATACTTATCGCAAAGCACTGGAAGACACAAGATCTACCCACCAGGGAAGAATGGCAGATATGAAGCTGATGGACTACATGGAACTGGCGGAAATGACTGGCAGAATCCGAGACCAGGGAGAAGAGACGGTGGAAGAAGATTGGAAAAAATGTAAAGTATATTTGCAGAAATATTGTAAAATTAATGAATGTTAGAAGGATGCTGGAAAGAAGTTATATGACTTTAGCAGAAATGTTATAAAGAATTAAGTATGAATAGATTGACAATGGGTAAAGGTGTAAAACTTAAAGTTAAATTGCGTTAATATAAATTATGGAACTAAATTTGAGAAAGAGGGAAAGGACTTGCTGGAATAATTAATTGAACTAGAATACAAAAAAGGAGGTGTGAGGAAGTCGAGGAAATAAGCAAATGAAAGATAAGGACATGAAAATACGGGGTCTTTTTTTTCTTTTTTTCTTTTTTCCCTTCTATTTTTTCAAAGGTTTGTGTTTTTTAAATGTTTCTTTTTTTTCTTTTTTAATGTTTTGATGTACTGTTGTTGTTTTGTTTTATTGTTTTGTTTTATTGTATTTTCTTTTGTTTTTGAGGTTTTGTTCACTGCTTGTTTTTCTTTTTTTTTTTGTAACTCTTAAACTCTAATAAATATCTTAAAAAAAAAAAATTCCCAACTGAACTGATTCCCTGCCCCCTTGTCACTATCATTAGTGGGTAGGTGCCAATCCATCATTATCATTTGCTCCCTGGCACTTTATTTACAAAAAGTACCCGGGAATCTTGAGATTTCAGGGCTACTGTTTTCTGCTCTTCAAGGGAAGAGCACACAGACTCTGGGGTCTACATGCAACTCTACTGGGAAGTTAACAGGACCCCAGAATCCAGGGCCCACACTTGCCACACCGGGTAGCTGAACCTGCCCTGCCATTTTAATTTCTTACAATTCTCCTTGCATTGCTTGACGGCATTGTGGGACATTTAAATGGCAGCTCAGACCCAGCAACCCTGAGGTAGCTAATGTAGTGCCTTCCAAACGCTGTTGGACACCAACTGTGATCAACCCTGACCACTGGGACATGCTGGCTGGGGCTGATGGGAGTCCGACAACAAGATTAGGCCATGATGAACGTGTCCAGACCAGCTGATTACAGAAAAAAAACCCTTCCTTCCTTCCTTCCTTCCTTCCTTCCGTTTTATTTTGTTTTAAAGTATCATCTTTTTACGGTATTATGGCCCAAAGTAGCAGTGCCCTGCCCTCTCTGGACCTCTGAGACAGCCTGGGTGCCAGGACGATGCCTGCCACTTTAAGTGAAAGATGTCATCACACAGGAAGCAAAGATGTAAAGAAAAAGGAAATAAGGCTTGCAAATGACCGATGACTATGCAGTTTCTTTCGCTGCTGATAGAGAGAGAGAGCAAGCCACAAATCACAGAACAGAGCAGCTCAACCCGGATGCAGAGAGTGAGAGCTTATTGGCTATGCTAACAGAACAGCATCCTTCAGAGAAAGATGCATTTGGCCAGCAGTGAAGAAAAAGGGGACCAGCTGTTGTGGGAGAAACAATCAATAAGGTAGAGACATAGGAGCTAACTCCTAGGGCACGAGGGGGCTTTGGCCTCCCAATAAAATATTGATGGGGTCAACCCCCCAGGTTGATGGGCATTGCCATTCAAATGGTGTGCATGCACTGTATCATGTGACTGATTATGTGAGGCGGGGCTTATCTCCCCCCCTCAATATTTTATTCAAGTTGGCACCCCTGTGTGTAGATGTGCAAAAAACCCAGAGTGAGTGGGTGAGAGTGGAAAAAACCAAGTGACTCAAGAACTTGGGATGACACCGAACCAGAATTAGTTAGCAAAGGAAGTTGCTGCTTTTGTGGCAGCTTAAAAATGCATACCCTGTAATAAAATATTTAAAAAATGCAGGTCTAGTGGGAGAAATAATTTTGCTAAGGTATAGGCCACAAGCAGGGACTATCACATGCAGGGTTCCATCTTGTTCTCCAAGGATGGGGAACCTGTGGCCCTCCATAATAACTTGTTAAGAGCTTTCCTGGATCAGGCCAATGGCCCATCCAGTCCATCATCCTATTTTCACAGAGGCCAACCAGATTTTTGAGGGAAGTCCACAAGCAGGGCCCGACCACAACAGCCCTCTCCCCTCCTGCAGGTTCCAGCAACTGGTATTCAGAAGCATTACTCCCTCTGAATATGGGGGCTGAGCATAGCCATTGTGGCTAGCAGTCATCAGTAGCCTTCTGCTCCACAAATCTGTCTAGGGTGTGTGGGGGGAGTTAATCAAAATAGAAATTATTCAGGGGAATCTTCAAGGAAGGTGAAGCTTGTAGCAGGGCAAGATAATTATTTGAAGGGGGAATAATTTGTTGAGGGTGAGAGGAATCTCAGAGAGGATGGAGATTTCTTTATTTCATTTTGGGCTGCTCTTGAGCCCAGGGAAAGTGTTGGGGCTTGGAACTGCTGATGGTGTAAACTGGCCAGCTTAAGAGTCCCAGCAGTGGTGGCTGTTTTTTGGCAGGAGGAGAAGCTGCATAGGATCCCCTCCTGCATCTCGGTTGCAATAGGATTCCTTCTGTCTGCTTTGCAAGCTAGTGCTTCTCTGGTGACTTCCTGGGGAGAGGGCAACTTGTATGCCAGGGATAGATTTTCTATTTATTTGCTTCTCGCATTGATTACCCAACAACAAACAATCACAAAACAGCCACAGCTAAAAATCTACCTGCACCTACCTCAACAGGCATTGCCTATAAAGGTTGTTAGCCAAGCCAGTGTATATCTTATCACTGGGGTAGGGGACATTTTCAAGCCAAGCACTACTTTCCCATCGGGGTAACCTTCTGGGACCACATGCCAGTGGTGGGCAAGACCAAAGCCAAAAGTGGGTAGAGCAATGAATATAACTTTTGCCTTTGTTCAGTAGGCTAGTTTCTACACATGTGTATGTGCATATGTGTGCACACACACTCTCGATTCTTGATCCAAGCATGCAAGGAAAAATCACCAGTGTTTCAGGATATACGCTAGCCAGGTAAAGAGGGGTGATGAGGAATGTGGCCTCGGGAAAGGCCTGCAGGCCAGATAGAAAGAGCCAGTGGGCCATTTGGCCCCCAGCGTAAAGTGCCACACCTCTGTGGTTAAATGTGTGAAGTAACTCTTGGAAGTTGGTGGAGATTTGAAGTCGCTCTTGCACTGTGTGTAATTTCTGGACAGTTTCACCGTATTTGATCCCCAGTGGGTTACCTTTTACTCTCAACTAACTCATACCCTCCAACATTTCTCTGATGAAAATCAGGACATCCCATTCCATAATGATAATTTTACTGTTTATACCCCACGCATCTTACTGGGTTGCCCCAGCCACTCTGGGCAGCTTCCAATGTATATAAAAACACAATAAAACATGAAATATTTTTTTAAAAAACTTCCCTAAACAGGATTGCCTTCAGATGGCTTGGGGAACTGGATAACTCCATACCCTCCAACATTTTTCCAATGAAAATAGGGATGTCCTAAGGAAAAGCGGGACATTCTGGGACGGCTTCTCTCAATCAGGGATGTCCCTGGAAAGTAGGGGCGCTTGGTGGGTCTGCTAACTCCCTCTCCCTTTTGGCCTGTAGATTCTGGGATGTGACATCCGCCTTGTCTTTAAAATGCATTCTCACCCCATTCTGGGTTGCACTAGGTCTCAATCCTGCAACACCAACCTGGAAACAAAGGATGCTGCCTTCTCCTGAGTCAGACCAATGGCCCATCTTGTTCAGTATTGCCTGTGCTGACTGGCAGAGGCTCTCCAGGGTTTCAGGCAGAAGTCTCCCCCACCCCTACCTGGAGATGCCACTGGGGACTGAACCTGGGACCTTCTGCATGCAAAGCAGATGTTCCACCACTGATGCATCCACCATCCTAATGGTTCCTCCTTAGAAGACTTTAAATACTTAATTGAATTAAGGGGGGAAGAAACCCATTGCCAAACTTGACATATCCTTTATTATTTGTTAATTTCTGGCTCTGTGCCTGGCTTGCATGAGGGACAATGGATGCAAGTAACCCAAATAGAATTGGAATTCACTGCAGCAGAGGGTGGGAGAGTGACAGTTGCAATCTGGGATTCTGGACCATAGGTTTAAATTGCTCAAGGCAGCAAGAAGTAAGGCAGACATGGTTTCACTCAGCACTAACTTACTTCACTCTTCACCAAGCTGGTGCCATCCACATGTTTTGGACTACAACTCCCATCATCCTGGCCAGCACCTTGAAGCCATCCATCAATGGCTAGCCCTGAGACAAGCAGGTCACCTAGTCTCTGTCTGTGTATTTCTATTTAAATTATAACCATATTCACTATATTTGCATGCATACATATGAAGTGGTACATGCAAATTTCATGTGAATCTGTGTCCTCTTTTCTTCGGTGTTATGTTAAGTAGCCACCCTAGTGTCACCCATCTGTAGTCTGCTGAGCAGAAAAAATTAGAATCATGCTAATTACAGCAACAGGAGCAAATAAATGCCCTCAGATCTTGCTGCTTTAAGGAATTTTAAGAGATAGCTGGTGTTAGCCCTACTCAGAGTAGACCCATTGAAATTGCTGGATGTGATGAAGTTGCATACATTTAAAACAGTGTCATGCCATTTTAAAAAGTCATGGCTTCCCCTAAAGAATTATGTGGTTTGTTAAAGCCGCTGCAAGTTGTCAGGAGACCCCTATTCCCCTCACAGAGCCACATTTCCCAGGGTGGTTAAACAGTCCATCCCTCTTCGCAGCGAGCTCTGGGAACTGAAGTTCTATGAAGGCAACAAAGGTTTCCTAACAACTCTCAGCACTGTAACAAACTACATTTCCAGGATTTATAGGGGTAAGCCATGGCGGGCACGGTCCTTCTTTAAAATGCTTAGTGTAGATGAGGACCTTAAGTCAATTGATTTTAGTGGGCCTACCCTGAGTATGACTTAGGGACTGAATCATAGAGCTCCAGATTGCAACCTTATAATTCACTTCACATCAAATTTCCTGGCCTCCACGAAAGAAAATCAATGCACAACCACATTCAACAACAAGGGGTAGGCATTCCAACAGTGTCAAGAGCGTGCCATCTAAACAAACAAACAGCAACAGAATGTAATTGTGTTCTCTCCCTACGACCAAATTAATTTTCCATCCACTTGGGAGTCAAGAAAACATGGCAAAATGTAGCAGTGGGTCTTGGCAGCACAACCGGCAAGAAATCATCCCAAGACATTGTGCTATAATAGATGCAACCAGGTCTTCACCACCCTGGTGGAAGTTGATACTCATTCCCAGCATGTGGAGGTTTGTGTACCGTGTTTCGTTTTCGAAATCCTTCACTTTTTAAAAAGTGTATTCAAGTCTTCATTATGTAAAAATAAGGGGGAAAAGACAGTGCGTTGCTGCTGTTTCACCACATGGAGATCAACATCTGGCAAGTATTAGAAGACATCCACATCACCTCCACCAGCCTAAACTGCAAATAGCCAAATGCGAATCCAGAAAGGACGTCGGTGACATGGTGCCGCCCAACCATGATCCGGGAAAGTCCCACCAAGAAGGCCCAGATCACAATTAAGATCCGGAGCGGTACAGCTAAGACCAGATGGTTGAGGAAGAACTTGGATACCATGGCAGCTCGGCTGGCGTGTCCTGCTGGAAAAGCATAGACGTCCATGGTCAAGTAGTCCAACAAGCCTGGGCTTACGTCATACGGGCCCTTTCGCTTGGCCATCTTCTGTAAGCCAGCCACAATGATGATGTCCAGAAATAAGGCTGGAGCAGAAGAGAGAGAAAACAAGGCAGAGAATTAGAGAGACGAGCTGTCTGAGGCAAAAGGTTAAAATAATTATCTGAAGTGGTAACCATTAGGGTAGAAATTCATTTCATTTCACATTTTAATGCACTAAGAGACACGGAAGACAGAAGGCAATTTTGAAACTGTATGGTACATGTTTATTAAATACATTCGAGAAAACACAGCGTAACCCTTTAACCACTGGTTACCCACAGTTCACTCTGGGAACCTGTTAAGGCAGTTAAGGCGCATAACTGGTACAGTATAATGAAAACAAAAGTGTTATCCAAACCTGCTTAATATTTTACTATAATTCACACTGCATATGCATGAAGTGTTTCTTGGTGGGTGAGGGGGTAGATGGTGATGCTTTGCTACAAGCATTTCCCTAAACTGAAAAATAAAGGCTAACAAAAAATGTTCACGTTTTAATGCAAACCTATGTAATTTGCCTCAAATAATATGTAAACCAAAACACAAATATCCTTTCAAATTTGAAGTTCTCCAGATTGTTGCAATGTGGTTCTTTGACCAAAAAGCAAACAGCATTGTACATAAAAATGCATATATTAGTGAAAATAACATATGAAAATGCATTGCATTAGGGGAAATTGCTTGCAAAAATGCATACAAAATGTGTCTATTAGGAGCAATGACTACTAAAATGCTGGTGAATTTTTGTGACTTAAAAATAGTAATCCACAGATTGCTTCAGAAATGCGGCAAACTGAACATAAAAGTGGGAACATGAGATTCACCCACCATTAGTAACCATCAAATAACAAGCAGCCTCCTCTGATTAGTATTTTGTTCACTTGAAACATTTAAAGCAACGCTCTCAGACTTCCAGCTGAAGTGTGTGTGTGTATCTGAAAGGCATACTTACACCATGAAAATGTTTACTTTTTGAGTGTGTAAGTAGGGCTTAGTTTTTACATAGTGCCATGATAGCACTGGGACCCAGGTTCAAAACTCCATTCAGCCATGAAGCTCACTGGGTGCCTTTGGGCCAACCACTATTTTTCAGTTGGATTTACATCACAATGTCGTTGAGAGTATAACAGATGAGGAGATCATGCATGCCATGTTGGCAAAAGCCCACTTTGAAGGAAAAGTGGGATATAAACAGAATTATATAAGAGAGAAAACACATGCACCTGTCAAATATTGTTGCGGAGCGATGACAAGATAATGACAGTCAATCAAAAGGTAGCTTGGCTTTGGAAGATGGTTGCCAAAGGTCTGTTTAGACAATGTAGACCAGTAATTCCTAAAGTTTGTGCTGAAGTAAGGTAGGCTGAGGAATACAGAAGCTGACTCCAGGTCGCCCAGTGAGTGACATGGCTGAGTGGGGATTTGAACCCTGGCACCCACTGTCTTAGTTTGACATTCTAGCTCTTGGGACCCCCGGTGTAGCACCTGGGGACCCTATTGTGCCCTCAGACATGTCCTTGGTGCCCACAAAAGCCCCATGCCCATCACATTTTTTAAAAACAGAAATGATTTGACTTGTATGGGTGTGAATGTACTGTGTAGATGTTTTTCCTGTTTTTTCGGAGGAAGTTGGGGTTCTGAGCATCTTTGTTTCTCTTTCTGTGAAATGGGTATTTTGTGGTGCCTGGGGGAGTTCCCTGAGCTTCCAAACATAGCCCTAGGCCCAAAAGGCTGGAAACACTTGCTCTGCTCCCTATTCCACACAGGCTCTCTATACTTAAGGCCTTCAAGAGACCTATGCCCACACAAAGAGTCTCACATTCACCACAGACCCACTAGAGTAACCTTGGGCACTCTTCTTTCACCTCCAATTAGCCTGTGTCATGGCACATCGTTCAGGGGCATAAACGTTCTGGTGTTTCTAATCAGCTGGAGTGCCTGTTTCATCAAATCGCTGGGAAGGTTCAGCGGCAACAGCAAATCGGGCCTGTCAGGGGCACAAGGCCTTCAGAAATAGATACAATTGGTGCCGTCACTCTGTGAGTAAAGGCTCAAGTTTCCTTATGTGGCCTACATACCAACAACCAAGGCTTCGGCTGCCTGGACTGCATGCCCCAATCGCTTCAGCTATAGGGCAGGGTCACTGTGAGCCACTGGGATATTCCAGGGCCAGACACTGTCTGCGTTGCTTTTGAATCCCATGGGGTAATAATCTTCCTCCTCCCTGCCCCAGTTGTTGAAGGTGACAGAACGCAACTCGGTGTCAGAGCGCAGAAAGTCCCAGGATGAATTCTATGCTATCTCCAGATAGGACAGGCAAAACCTCCTGTCTAAGCCACTGGAGAACTATGCTACTCGTTGGAGAGGATAATGAGCTAGATGGGGCAATGGATTAACTTGCTGGCTGCAAGGCACCTTTCTGCTTTCCTAATAAAAATGGGTGGGAGTATGCAGGAGCTAGATTTGAGTTCTACCCTATGCGATTTGCTGCAGGAGATCAGTACGTGTTCCTGATTCCCAGTAGTTTTAACAATGGCAAGTAAAATTTCTAGCAATTTTGGGGTGTGTGTGTGTGTGTGCGCACGCAAAATCTCTAAGTCTCAGTGCTTCTCATCTGTAAAATACGAATGTTAATTGGCTGCTTGGTGGTAGAGCAGAAAAGCAGAACCATCTCTGCAGGTGTAGATCATCTTAATGCAGCTGGAGCTGATGGGAATTGTAGACTGAAACATCTAGAGGGGACCAGGCAGGCTGAAGGCTTCCCTGGCACTCTTCTTCTGTCTTTGTAAGAGGCATGGGTTTGATGTGTGCAATGACACGCTAGGTGGGTGGCTGTATCGACGCACAGGCCCTTGAGCACACCTCTACTGATAACATCAGACAGCAGTGCCTAAGTTTAAAAAGGGCTTTTGTGTATTTTTTAAAAATGGACTACAATGATAGATGATAGTGTTGCTATTTTTAAACGGCATGCTCAGATGCACCATCTCTTTCCCACCCACACAGCTGTGTTGTGCCCACTAGTGTGACTGAAACACTAAAAAATGAACACACACAAAAGGAGCTATATGTCAATTTCAAACATGCTTGTTTTGGTTTCTCGCAGCTTCTCATTTTTTTCCAGTTCAGTTCTCCATATTACTATGTTAATTTGCAGGAGAGGGGGGAAATAAAGTCCTTATGAAAATTCATCCACATTTTAGTGAATTTACCCTAATAAACACATTTTCGTATGCATTTTAACCAGCCACATACATTTTTGAAAATAAATTTCCAGTAATATAACCTTTGTAGACTAGTTTCACTAACATATGCATTTATATGCACACTTTATCCCAGTAAATCCATATTTGTATGTGTTACTTGGCTGGAAGACTGCATTGCAAAACTTGGGGAAGTGCAAATTTCAAACAGTGGCTGCACATCAGTTTGTGCATTATTTTGGAAAGTGAGAATTAGTTAAGCTTGCCTTTAACTAATTCAGATTTCTTCCTCTTTCCTATACCCCCCACACCCTTAAAATTCAAAAGGTTAACTATAATTCCCCATGCAGCATACGGTGGAACAATGATTTCATAAAAATAGAAGTCAGCCGTCTGGATGCATGATAGAGGGAGAGATTGAGATTGTGAGAGAGTGCACACTTCCAGGCGACTGCTATTTTCAGATGGGAGTCAGTCACATTTCGGCAGGTCCAAGTTGTGCAATTAAAGTTGACTTGGCATTCCATCCCCAGATTGGACTTTTTGTGATAAGGAAAGTGAAGGGGAAATGCATTGGAATATGTGGGATAACAACACAACACAGTATAAACTCCCCGCAGACAAATTAGAATGAATGCTATCTGCCTGACTGGGAGAGATAGGAAGCAGGGTTCATTCTTTGCCGAAAGCCCAGGTCCATCAGGCACTGTCCTGCTTTAATTAATTTTACGTAAGCTACTCTAGGGGGCGTTTTTGGCTGAAGAGCAGGGTATAAGTGCTCTAAATAAATAAATGCTCAGTAAACAGCCAGTGTCATCTAACCTCCCCACAAACATTGTGGAAACAAATCAAGATGAATACCCAATAAAGAGATCACCTGGAGGTGACCATAGACACACATTTCACAGTAGGGAAAAAAGGGCTATTATTTAAACAAGAGGTCATGCCCATAGGTATTAGTAGCCTAGTCCATGGAGTTGCTTGGGAATGGTAAGAAACCAAACATTAGTTTTGAAAACCTGTTGGCCACCCGCCTTGATTCAAAATGGTGTGCATTTGTATCCAAATATAAACGAAAACCTGCTCCTTGATTTCAAGGACTGTAATGCAATATTTGGTTAAGATCAGTGCTGTTTTGAAAGTTTCAGTCCACCATCTTGATTCATGATGGCATCCAATCATATCCAAACATAGACAAAAACCTGCTCCTTGATCTCAGGAAACGTCACAGAAAATGTGGTTATGATATCTTAAGAGGTGCCTAGATTGCACAGCATACAGACAGCTTTCCACAATATTTAACAGATATGGGGGCTAAAGTGTGTGAGTGGGTATAAACTGCCTCATAAGCTAAATCATCAAAAAAAGATTATGAGGTATGGGGTCAAGGAAGAGATGAGAAGTATAAGATATGTTAGACTCCTCTGTCCAAGATGATTAGGACTAACGAGTAAAATGGCTGGCTGACCCAAGACCCTCCATTCTTTTTGCACACTGTGCCCTTGTGAGCAAAGGCAATTTGTATCTCTGAACCAATTACTTTAGTGTGGCTTCTTCCCAGATTGCTGCGAAACGCAGCAACTTTGCAGCTGTTCTGGAGAGACAAAGCTCATCAGGAGGGTGAGTGGTGGAAAGAGATCTTACACAGGGATGCTGATCTTCTGCTTAGCATTTTATTATATTAGTGCCAGTTTGGGAACATCCTGAGAGAGTAGCCTCCCGTTGACTCTCTTCCAACATCTTTCCTTACATATTCAAGGAATAAATTGTAAAGTAACAGGAGTGGAAATAGAATTAGTTGTAACAAGGAGGTTGCAGAGCAGATCTGGTGGGGGATGTGGTTTCGGGAGAGGGTTTGTGGCTGAGGAGATGTAACCTGGGTTAGTCCCGAGGTGCAGATGGAGAGGCCTGGAGAGCTGCATTTGGCCCCAAGGGCTGAATTTCCCCCAGCTCTGCTTTCAGCCCTACACATTAATAGATAGAAGGTTGGTGGCCAGCTTTTCCCCCTGGGCCCTGCTCCTCTGCCTTTGAAAGTTGCCCAGCAAATACAAATCGAGCAACTGAATCTCTTCCCAGACTTCATTCTCTATACAGGAAAAGCTTCGTCTCCTTAATTTTCTGGCATGCCATGCTGCTATTAAAGACAGAGGAGCATAGCCCAATAAAAAATAATAAGTTGGCAATCAGCAGCAAGGTCTTTAGAATGCAGAGGAAGACAGAGAGTAGTTGCAGAGTTCCCTAGAGATGGACAATGATTGATGAACAAACCAAGCCTGCTGCATTAGGTAACTGCTCTGACGTTGTAGAATAAGCAATTCAGCACAGCTCACTAGAAAAGGGACATTTTCGTAACTATGCAGGTGCTGCCATGCTGGATCAGACCAAGCACAGAATTTTCTCCCCAGCAGCACAAGAATGTAAGACAAGCCCTGCTGGATGAGGCCAGGCGCCCATCTGGTCCAACATCCTGTTCTCACTGTGGCAAACCAGACGTAGCCATTTCAATGCCTCTAGGAAGTACACAGGCTTGGGACCCTGTGAAAAGGATTTTGAGAAGCGGATGGGACGGCCCGCCTGTTAATCTCATGGTTTCTTAATGACACTGTGTGACTGACAAGTGGGCCATCCCATCTACCTGTCAAATTTGAACTGCAAGGCCAATGCTGATAAGGACCCGGCCTTCAAAGCAAAAAAATTTCCCCACCCCAGAAGTAGAGCGAGAAAGAACTAAGCTACTCTGATGGTTACTGAAAGCCTCTGGTCCTTCAGGTATACTGTGCCTGAACATGGAAGCTCCATTTAGCTATTCTCCATCAGTATATTTGCCTTTTAGCTGGCCTCCATCAATGAATTCCTATGTAGTGTTGATTATGTGCTCTTAGAAGGTACATGGTGTGTCTGCCATGAGACCAAGACATGTTTCAAGCCTTAAGAGTATGAGACCACAATATTTTTGGGAGCACTGTGTAGACCAGGTCCCCCAAGTTCCATTTTTAGCATTTAACCCTGGCATCCAGTTCTCTCTCTCAGCAAAAAAGAAAAGAAAAAAAGTTTTTTTTAGACTTGTTCTCCTTGACACCCCTGCCCCGCACCCAAAAACCTAGTTCTTCAGCAGCTTTCAAGAAATATCCTGAATTCTCCTCTCTCCATTCTTCCTTTCTTCTCTCAGCTCATGTTTCTGTCAAGTCACATTAGGGCCAGGCAGGCTATAGATGCGTACGGGTTCCCCCTCGGGTGAAGTCTCTTCCTTGCAGCTGCAAAACCACTCTCGGTGGGGGGTGGTTTCTGTCTGTCCCCCCATTCCCTGCAGGGGTACCTTGCCAAGGTCACAAACTGGAGGTGGGACTTCAACTATACTCAAACCCCCCCCCCCCCGCAGGAGATGCTTTTAAGTGCTGACGGCACCAATAGCTCTGCTGAATCACAGAAACATTTATCCACACTCCGTTCGGGATTCAGCTGGCGTGCCATCGTTCATACCTGCTAAGTTCTGCCTGGAAGGGTTGCTATTAAGGCAAATCACATTTCACACCAGGGTGGAAATATAAATGGAAAAGGGGGCTGCGGAAGGAAGTGGAGGTGCAGCCGTTCCCTGTAATCTTTCACAGCACTGGCTCTGGCTTGGAGCTTCCTGCACAGGCAGTGTGCCATCTGGTGTGCCCCTCATGCCACTGTACACCAAGGTGGGCTTAACTGTAGTGGCAGGCAGCAGCATCCCACTCGGTGGCAGGTGAACCACCCAGCATTTTAATGACCCACAATGCGCCAACAAATAATCTCTTGAGAGCACCTGTGGGGCATTGGAAGTCCCGCAGCAGAGATCATTCACCAAGGGGTTAACTCTGCTGATATTAAAGAAAACTAGTGAAGAGGAAGACAGGTGGGGGTATTGATTAGTAACCCTGCAGAGTGGGATGATCTTCATTAAGGTAGCATTGTGCTTTGCCTGGCTGTGTGGTTCCAATGGAGTTTTACTTCTGTATGCTTGTACATTGCCCTGTTATTTCAAAGCCTGAAGTAAGAAGGACAAAACACCCCTGGTTCCCCCACCCCTGCTCAATTTCCTCAGTAAGGTATTGTCAAGACTTTTCTCTCTGGACTCCTTCAACCTTATTTAAGTGACTTTGCTATCATGGGGAACCTTTAGTTCTCCAGATGTTGCTGAAAGACAACTCCCTCATCCCCAACCACTGGCCATGCTTGCTGGGCTAATGAGTTTTTGTTTAGTAACATCTGGAGGGCCAAAGCACTATGGGAGTGGGACTGCCGAGTGTCACACCCGAGTCCTACCAAGGCACTTAGGCGCTAGTAGCTGCACAAGGGTACCAGCTGCTGAGGCTGGCTCTGGTAATTCGGTACTGAAAATAACTACTGACCTTTGATGCCCTGATTTTGGCGAACATGACACATACCTCCCATGTGAAGGCATTTCTATGCTGTTTTCTGAGCATTCAAAGTGCTTTGCATACAATGATCTGTCACTTTTATGACAACCCTGCATGGTAAAAAGGTAAAGGGACCCCTATGGTAGATCTGTGTTATTAACCAATTTTGCAAATGGGGCATAAAGCAGATCTGGGGAATCTGTGGCTCTCCAGGTGTTGTTGGATTCCAATTCCCATCAGCACCAGCCAGCACAACCAATGGTTAGAGATTATGAGAACTGTGGTCCAGCAACATGTGGAGGGCTAAAGGTTTTCCAGCCCTGGCCTAAAATTTCCTGAATTCACAGCTGAAGTTAAATCTTAACCAGTCACTTCCTCGCCTGCCTCACAGCTCTCACTACCAGACTCTATGAGCCACTGCACTAAATGGTCATTGGTCCAGGATCTAGTTTTTGACACATATTTTCACCATCTATTGCATTACAGATTCCTGGATTGCAAGGGGTTGGCCCAGTTGACTCTTGGGGTCCCTTCCAACTCTACAATTCTATACTGCTATGATGCTATGACCACCTTGATACTTTGGGTTGGAGGACAGGCTGGTGGGTCTATAATAGTCACTAGGCAACTGGTATGACCTCAGTATTTCAGCCATTTGATACAGCAGTTGATGGACCTACAATGGTTGCTAGGCCTCAAAATTCCAGTCACTTGGGGGGACAGGCTAGTAGGCCTATAGTGGTCACTAGGCAACCTCTTGTGATAAAGCAGCAAGGTGGCTAAGGATAATAATTTCTTTCAGAAATGTTAAAACTGCCTTTCAGGTTCTTGAGAGGTTCACAACACAAAATCAGAAGTGCAGTCCATGTAAAATCAGTCAGTGAGGAAGCCAAGCATGTTTCCCATGGAAGGAGTTCCACAAAAACAGAATGACCACTGAAACGTCCCTGCCTGATGGATCTTACCAGTGGCCAGTCTTAAAGGCCAGGCAGGCTCAGAGTGCTGCAGGTGGTTCTTCACACAACCTGGTCCCAAGCAGTTTAGGGGAAAACTATGTTTGCAGAGGCACCTACCTATCAGTTATTAAAGTAAAGAACAGAACACACAGATTTCCCTTTCCCACCCCCAAAATTGGTTTGCATATTTCCTAAAAGCCAAAGCAAAACAATAATCAAGTTAGCCTTGACAAGAGAAACAAAATTACAGACAGCGACCGTTTTGCACATGTCCAGCTGACACACGACTGCTGACCGTTGGGTTCCTTTTGGACCCGGAAATGGGTGGAATGGGGGCGGGTGTTATTTGTGCTCTGCTGATGTATGTGAAGTCTAGGAATGGAAGAAAGGTAAAGGGACCCCTGACAGTTAAGTCCAGTCGCGAATGACTCTGGGGTTGAGGCGCTCATCTCGCTTTACAGGCCAAGGGAGCCGGCGTTTGTCCACTCCACAGACAGTTTTTCTGGGTCATGTGGCCAGCATGACTAAGCCGCTTCTGGCGTAACGGAACACTGACACCAGAGCAGTGCACAGAAATGCTGTTTACCTTCCCGCCAGAGCGGTACCTGTTAATCTACTTGCACTTTTTTTTTTTTTTTGGCATGCTTTCGAACTGCTAGGTTGGCAGGAGCTGGGACTGAGCAATGGAAGCTCACCCCGCCGCAGGGATTCGAACCGCTGACCTTCTGATCGGCAGGCCCAAGGCTCAGTGGTTTAGACCACAGCGCCACCCACGTCCCCCAGGAACGGAACCCCCATGCAAAATGGTTGCTGCCTGTAGCAATAACAACAATAATACCAATCTAGGAAGCTGTCTTATACTAAGTGAGACCACTTGTTCTATCTAGCTCAGTATTGCTACACTGGCTGCTCTCCAAGGTTTCAGGCAGGTGACACTCTCAGTTCTATCCAGAGATGCTAGGACTGAATCTGGGATCTTGTGCATGCAAAGTAGATGCCGTACCAGCTGTGCCTTACAAGATCTCTGGCTTCAGCTGATTGAACCAAACCCTCTAGCCAGTGCCTGAGCCTGCTATGGTATGTCTGCAAACACTCCACCTGCTCAAAAGTTATTTTCAACATAGGGACACACAAAATGCCAAGGAGACAGAAAGAGCAGATACGGAAAGGAAACAATAGGATGACAAGTCAGCTCTTAAGCTGTTGAGTGAACAGTCCATGTGAAACAGTGGATGTGCAAAACAGTGCAAATGGTTGGATGCGAGTGAGAGAAAGAATTGCAAATAGACACAAGCAAAGTTGTGAATTGTGAGTCTTGAATGATGGCAGTGGTGGTGATTAAACATTATTATGCTACAAGTAGGGATAGTGGAGAGATTTTATTTTGTTTGCATTTTAATGAGAAATGACTTAATTCACACTTTGCCAACCAATGTGTGAAGTGAAACATGGCTGCCCTTTGAAATTTGCACTTCTCTGAATTTAGTGGTGCAGTTCTCCACCCAAGCAGTGTGTACAAAAATGCACACATTAGTGGGAAATGTGCATCAAAATGCATATATCAGCGCAAGTAGCTTTTTAAGAAGTGCATTACGCTGAGGAAATTGCTTGCAAAAATGCATATATTTGCCTGCAAACATGTGATTAATTGATAAAACTTGCACAAGAATGGTGATGAATTTTCATGGGGATTTCTTAAAATATATGTTTAAAAATCAGAAAATGCAGCCTAAAGAACTCTATTAACTGTATTTAAGACTGGAAAAAATGACAAACTGAAATTGACAGATTCATCCCTCCCTAAGTGCAAGTTACAGTGGCAGTAAAATAGGAGCTCCTCCTATTTATACAAAGACAGTGCCAGTCAGACACAGTTTACTCTTTGTCAGTGCATTTAATACATCAGATGAGACAGGAGAGAGAGAGAGAGAGAGAGAGAGAGAGAGAGAGAGAATGTAAGCAGCCTGCATCATCTCCTGGACTTGGGGCGAGGTGTTTACCGCAGCTTCCAAGGAGAACAGAAAAGAGTGAGATTCGTGGTGTGATCTTTGATGGCAATAGATACTCTCATTCACATCCCGAGGCTGTGAGGAGTTGGGACGTCATATTCCAAGAGAAGAAGAGGAAGCATTCCCTCTCTCAGCCCCTGCCTGCCTCTTCTTCAGCCTGCACAACATTTGGAATTTATCCCACATCACTGCACACCTACCGAGATCACAGCAGGTCAAGCGAAGCCCAGAAAGAGAGTGTGTGTGTGTGTGTGTGTGTGTGTGTGTGTGTGTAGTGTTGCCTGGTATTAAGCACATCTTCCTCCTTGCGTTTATAAATCTAACAATGAAGGAGCCAAGGATGAAACATGAATGCACATCACTGACCATCTCAGAAGCTCCCTTCCATAATTCTGTGTGTAATATCACACAGTATATTTACCAACATCTTGCTGCAGAAGAATTTATGTTATCACCATAGAGGAAGAGAGCTGTGTGAAATAATTATTCTGAAATTGATTTCTGATACTTGAGAATTATTGAGTTTTTATGTACAGTGTCCCAACTGCCAACAGAGAGCACACATGCTTAGGCACACATAAAATAAAAGTGTTATGGAAATTGCTATTGAAATGCAGTCATAAAGATGCGTGGAACAGTTTAATGCTGGATGTGTATCACTCACATTTATTCTAGACCATTCATTACCCTTGCCTCTCATCGGCCTTTTCCTAAAATGTGTTGGTTGTTACTGTTCTGAAATGAGGGTGGCAAATGCTGCAATGGCTGGTAAAGTCATGAAGACACAGGTGGCACAAATCTCTTCTGCTTTTCAGTGTATAAAAAGTAACCTAGAAACTACGGGCTGTATACAATCCTCATTCTATTAACAGTAGCCCCATTGAAAATAATGGCAATTACTGACAGATTCATTGATGGGTCTAACTCTGAGCAGAACATTATCCCCATAACAAGCACCACTCTAGCAGGCAAATTTATTTATTTATCATTCATTCACTGCTTTTATATTCCACCTTTCATACATGGGTCTCCTCCTCCTCATTTGATCCCCACAAAAACCCTGTGAGGTAGGTTAGCATCAGCGGCAGGGACTGGCCCAAGGTAACCCAGTGAGCTTTATGGCAAAGTGGGGATTCAAACCCTGTTCGTTCCCAGGCTCTAGTCTCTAACCACTACACCACACTGGATCATACTGCACTGTGCCTATTTTTTGAACTTATGGGTTTTATCCAACATCTTATCCCATAGTCCTATTGAAATGTATAATCATGATTAACTTAGGCCTATTAATTTCAATGGGCTTACTTTGAGTAGAATTTAGTTAGTTAAAGCCCTGTGGTTTTTTTACCTGAGATTTTGCTGCTGGTGGAATTAATAAGCCAAGAAACAATGCCTTGCTGTAACATCTGACCTACGGAGTGTGGTTAGTTGTTTCTTGCAGTCAGCAAGCCGACAACAAATCACAGGTTAAGAAGGTTAGCTAGTGACTGTGGCTTGGAGCAGCAATAAGCAAGTCTGGCTTGTTATGTTTTAACGCAGCCAATGAAACTTGTGTTGGGCTACCTACTAAGCTAATGGTCAGTAGGTTAGCCTCCTTAGATTAGGTTGACTACCACTCCACCAACATAGGGGAGATGAGAAAGAAAGAGAACATGCTCGTATCTTCTGCTAATGGGGCTTCCAACTCAGACTGGGTTGATTGACATTCCCCCCTAGAACAGAGGATATATAAGAGAGAAAGAGAGAGAGAGTGGGGAGAGCACGCTATCTCCAGCCATTCTCTAATCCCATCCTTTTTTCAACAGCCTGGCTGCAAAGGCTGAGCCAGAGGTTGGCTCTCAGCCCAGTGACTGCATCAGAAATTTTGCCTGGTGTGTCAAAATCCAAAAGTGGACAAGCTAAAACAATCTGTCTTTTCATTTCCCAAAGCAACAGTGTCCCACCAGATCCCGTCACAGGCCATGTAACCTAGCCCCCATGAATACAGGCACACCTGAATCCTGGAAATTCAGCATCCAATTTGCCTGCAATGCAATGGACACAAAGCAATAAATTTCTCCCTGCAAAGTGAGTTCAAACCAGGTCATAGTCACTTGTCTGGTGCAAGGAGGTGGCTACACAAAACCTTCTGTATCAGGTTGCATTGCAGGTCATATTGGCCCATATTGCCACGACAACAAGCAAGCGGCAAAGCACCAGAACAACAGCCCCCCCCCCCCATGTGCATAATAAGGTTGAAAGGCCTGGATTTTGAAACTTATACAGGGTTAGTTTTGATGCAATGTTTCACACTCGTGGGATGATGTCAGGACCTAACTCTGAAGCTATAATCACAGAAACAGCTCTACGGTGTTTTGGAGCCAGCGAATGGATCCATTTTGCTCTGTCAAAGCTTCAGAGTGGGTTGTGCACCCTACTCTCAGCAGCCAGAAACATCATAACCAGACACTGGAGAGACCTGTCAGGAGTAAGCATGGACAATGGTACCAAATAGTATGGGAAACAGCCTTACTAGAAAAATTAACCAATAAACTGAAACTGACACAGGGTCAAATAGAAGAAGTTGCCTTCACCCCGGTATGGCTCCCCTTCATCACATACACAGCCAAACAAAACAACGACAAGAATCCACCAACAGCATACAAATCAATATGGCTAACCCACCCCACTCAAACATGAAAACAAAGTTCACCACAGCCAATCACAAACAAACAACCACACCCTAGGCCAAACCCAACCTCTCTCACAACCAAAGGAACACAAGCGAATAGCGAAGAGAACCTGCACCAGCAATGCCGAGACAAAACCCCACACATACATTAAGTAAAATAGAAACATCACCACCCAACCCCAACCCCACTCACCATTCCCCCCTCCACCTCTTTCCCTCGTTTCTTCCTAATGTAACACTAATGGCTCAACAAATGAAACTGATCTGTAGAAAATGCAACTTGGAAAAAAAAAGATATTGCACATACTTTTGTAAACCAAGAAATCTTTAATAAAAATACATCTTAAAAAGAAGAAGTTGTGCAATGGTTGTGCAATGGATCCTATGACCCATCCTGGCATCTGATGACCGGCAGATGGGTGGCTAGGCTAATCAGCGCATGTTCAAATGCCCGCAATGCAGGGAGGAATCTGCAACATCATGAACTACATCATGCTTGTTATGGTTTTATTATTGAATTCCTTACCTGCCTTTCATAGCAATATAAAAACACAATATTGAAATGAGCTAAAACAATTTACCATCAGAAGAACCAGAGAGGCCCCAAAGGTCAGGGTAAACCTATTGCAATGGCGGCCTTTTGGTGTCCAGGGTCAGGCCCAGCATCCCAAGCCATGCTACGCCTTTTAGGCTCTGCGCCCTTAAGCGTAGCGATACTACAACTGGAAGCTGGTTAGTTTTGCCAAGGCCTGGTAGTTATTTGCTTATGGAAACACAACAGCAGGTTTTTCTGCTGTTGGCTTTTCCATTGTGCTGCAGAACACACTCCCCACTGAAATACAAGAAGCCCTATCACTATTGGCATTCTGCGGGCTTTGAAGATGCACCTATTTGCAGGGGCATTCTCTGGATATCAGAACTTGAGCCTCCCATTTGACATGCTGTGTTGTTTTAATGGGATAGTTTCATTATGTCTATAATTATATTTTAACAGGATTGTTTCATTGTGTATTTCAATTACAAGTACAGTATTTATATTTTAATCTTTGTGTTACAAGCTTTTATACTTTGTAAATCATTTAGAAGCCCACTTTGGCACTACGTCACATACTAATTAAATAGTAACAACAACAACAACAATAATAATTATGAAAGTGCCATGATAAAAGCTGGTGGGTGTGCTGTTTTTTGAGACAAGCCCACAACAGCAACCAGAATGCACTCAACCCCCTCATTCTTTCCTTTGCCAATTTAACCCTGAGATCCAACCCAAGAGGATACCTATCATTTCTTTATCTGAAGACAACTTGGAAATGTCAATTGGACCAAAATGCAGTGGTTAGCTTACTGGCTGGTCTTCCATTTATACCTCATAAAACAGTTGCACTGGTTGCCAGATTATTTTCAGGCTCAAGTGAAGGTGCTTAGTTAGTGCTTGAAGCCCTAAACAACTGAGGCCTCAAATATCTGGGAGACCAACCCTACATACCATCCCTGGAGATTAAGATCAGCAGAGGGTAGTTATGCCGCCCTAAGAAGTTGAGGGCGGTGGCAGCAGCCCAGGTGAGGGCTGCATGGCAAAGGTCATTCTCACAGCAACCCTGTGAGGTTAGAGATAGCCATTGCTCTCCTCTATTTTGGAGGGCTGTTAGATTTGCACCTACACATATAAATTACCATGTGCAGATTTGAAGCAAATTGGCACCACCCCCCTTTGCCCTCTGTTTTTTGGTGGTGCTAATTCTCATTTTTTGACAATGCAGAACAGGCCACCTTATGTGAGGTAGGTTAGGCTGAGAGATGGTGATCATCCCAGGGTTATCCAGTGAGCTTTAAGAATGTAGGAACTGATTCTGAGTCAGATCATTGACCCATCTAGTGCAAGGCTGTCCACACTGGACAGTAGCCAACATGCTCTCTGTGTGTTTTGGAATACAATTCCCTCCCACCCCTGAACATTAGCTATGTTGGCTAGGATTGATGGTAGTTGTAGTCCACAATGCCTGGAATATACCATGTTGGCTACTCCTGGTCCACACTGACTGGCAATGGACTTTCCCATGCCCACTTGGTGATAGCAGGGATTGAACCTGGGGCCCTTCTGCATGCAAAGCAGATGCCCCAACACTGAGCTATTGTCCTTCATTAAAAAAACCACCAAGAGCCGAGTCCTCAATATTCTGAACATGAGATGCTAGGGATTGAACATGGGACCTTCTGCATGCAAAGCAGATGCTCTGTCACTGAGCTGCAGCCCTTCCCTCTGGTCCACCACACTAACAGCAGTGTAGCAAGCCGTTTGGGTGCTCATGGGGGCACATGTGCACGCACCACCCAAGGGGATGGGATGATCTACCCACGGGGGAGGGGTGAGCGAGCCAAGCCCTGGACCATTCTGATTTTGTGACTGCACTCATGTGGCCTGGCGGCGCCTCGTCTCGCTCCATCTTGGCAATGCCCACCCACCTGGCACAGCCCAGCAGGTATCAAGGGCACTGCTGCCACCTCTGTCCAGGCAACTGGGACTTGGGAGGGAAACCTGCAGGCCAGTGCACGCCAACCACATCCCTCCTGGGTGCCCTCCTGGCGCTACACCCTGTGTAGCTTTTTTTTGGCAGTGCTGGACCCGCTGGAAGGCAGCCACAGCCAAGTGGAGGCGGTGGTTGGGGGGCGTGCAGGCTGCGTACCACCCATGTCCCATGTTGAGCGTTGGGCCGTCTGGGTAAGCCTACCACCCAATGTGGATCACCCTTCCCACACGCCCTTAGCTACGCTAATGCACACTAACTACAGCTAGAAATGTTTCTACAGGGCTTCCAAAATTCTGAGACTTGGCAAATGTGCTGTGTTGTCTCCTGGTTTTGCAGGGCTCTTGTAAAAGAGTCCTCAGTGCAGCAGGTCTATGTGGCTCTTGCCACACCTCTTCCTGCGGTGTGGTCCTTCGGCAGATGCCCAGCCATTTCAAGGTTTGATGCTGGGTCTACACATGCAGGGACGTGGGTGGCGCTGTGGCGTAAACCACTGAGCCTCTTGGGCTTGCTGATCGGAAGGTTGGAAGTTCAAATCCATGTGATGGAGTGAGCTTCCATTGCTTTGTTGTTCCTCTTAAAATCTAAAATAATATTGGTTATTACAGGGTTTCCCCCCCAAAAGTGCAGGCTTGTTTTTCAGTTTTGAAGTATTTAAAGCTATGAAAATTGGCTATATCGTGAAATCAATCTAAAAAAAAATTATTTGCAATAATTTTCACTATCAGAAACTTTTGATTGCATAAGGGAAGGGTGTACACCAAGTTTCATCAAAATCCGAGATGGTGGGTGGCATGACTGCGTTGAACTGACGTGGAATGACCTATCTGGAGATATTTCGAGACATCACTGAAGCGTGCTAAGAAAGGTCAAAGATGAAGAAGAGAGAAGGAGGAGGACTGATTTTTTTTTATGGTTAGAAATGAGGTGCTGGTACTTTTGTTAAAAGTGCTGTGGGTGCCCATCCAAAATGGCTGCCATGAGTAGCAAAAGAAAAGGTGATGGTGTATTGGTGAGCACCTTCACACGCACACACACACACACACACACACACACAACAACAACAACAAAACAACAACAACAATAATAATAGGTTATAGCCATTGCTAGTCCTACTCATTTTAAACCCATTGAAAATAATGGGCATGACTTAGTTCCATTAATTTGAATGGGTCTACTCTAAGCAGAACTTAGTTGTATACAACCCAACAACATGTTTTCACACACTATTATACTAACATAATAAGAGCCTGGCTGCTAGAACAGGTCAAAGGCCCATTGGAATCAACATCCTCTTCTCACAGTGGCCAACCAGATGCCCAAATGGGAAGCCAGATGCCTAATGGGATGATAATCCCTGAACTCCCTTTAACCTCTGTATGGTTTACCCTATTTAAAGGATAACTGAGATGGGCTTGCTAGGCCTTCTGTGGCTCAGACTCTTGAGGCTAAAGGGGAGGAGCCTATGGCTCAGAGGTGGAGCCTGGGACTGGCGGGAGCTGTAGTCCGAAATGGCTGGAGGATAATCAGCTTGGGGGAAAGGCTGGTCTAAGATGTTTCAATTATCCTCATGAAACACTCACAGATGGTGTTATATATGACCTCTGAAGCCATGGAAACCAGGAAGGGTGGAGCTAGAGTAAAAACCCATATGTGGTTAACAGTAAGGTTGGTCTTTATCATCTATCACTTCCTTGTTTTAGCTGGAGGCCCTCAGAATTGAGCGTAGGACCTTTGACATGCATATCAGGTACACTACCCATGGAGTTTTAGCACCCCTGGCAGCCACTGAAGAATGGAAACTTGTCAGGTACAACAAAATGTTGCAGAGGAGAAGGTTCCAATTCAAGGTACCAGCCAGCCGTACTCATTTCTGTGGCTCTCCATTCCATTCTCACTCTCACCCTTTTTCATAGTTGGTCAGCATTCTGTGGCTACTGAGTATAATCAGTTCTTGTTCAGTTATTTTGAGAGGGGTATTGTTTTCCTCCCCTTAGTGTCCCGCCATAAATATTCTGCAGACCTTGGGGTTCCCTCTACGTAATCCATGACGGAGGCATGTCCGCAGCCTGCAGCTGCGCATGTGCGTGATGTGATTTGGCACTTCTGCGCATGCACGAAGCGTGATTTAGTGCTTCTGCGCATGCGTGAGCAGCGAAACCTGGAAGTAACCCTTTCTGGTACTTCCGGGTTTCCCGTGGTCCTCAACCTGAAAATGCGTAACCCAAAGCGTTTGTAACCCGAGGTACTACTGTATTGTCTACCTTAACTGGCAGCATCTTTTGAGGTTTTCAGATCCGCGTGTCTACCTGGAGATGTCAGGATTGAACCTCGGACTTCATGCGATGTAAATCCTCTGGAGCTAGACCCCTTCCCCAAAGTTAGGAACATATGCAAAGTATGTGCTTATACTAGCATTGAGTATAATCATTCATACCCATATTGCAGAATTGAGATCTGAGAATATGGATGGGAGGTTTAAGGAGATGAAGTAGAAGAGGAAGAACATGGTGGCCGGGGGACGATTCTGAGAAGAACTTGGCAAGATTTTGAGTGGGAACTTGGCATAACCTGTTGGGTTGTGGGTTTAGCCTGACAGAATCTGGCTTTCTAGGCTTTTCAGCCAGCCAGTGTAGTGTAGTGGTTAGAGTGCCAGACTTGGGAGACCAGGGTTCAAATCCCCACGTAGCCATGAAGTTCACCTTGGGCCAGTCACTGCCTCTCAGCCTAGTCCACCTCACAGGGTTGTTGTGCAGATTAAATGATGGGAGGGGGACAATGTATACCACCTTGGGCTCCTGGAGGAAAATGGTGAGATATATAAGGTAAAGGTAAAGGTATCCCTCACCATTAGGTCCAGTCGTGGCCGACTCTGGGGTTGCGGCGCTCATCTCGCTTTATTGGCCAAGGGAGCCGGCGTACAGCTTCCGGGTCATGTGGCCAGCATGACTAAGCCGCTTCTGGCGAATCAGAGCAGCACACAGAAATGCTGTTTACCTTCCCGCTGGAGCAGTACCTATTTATCTCCCTGCACTTTGGCATGCTCTCGAACTGCTAGGTTGGCAGGAGCAGGGACCGAGCAACGGGAGCTCACCCTGTTGCAGCGATTTGAACCGCCAACCTTTTGATCGGCAAGCCCTAGGCTCTGTGGTTTAACCCACAGCACCACCCGCATCCCGGTGAGATATATATGCAATGTCAAACAACAACAACACAAAAAAACAAACAAATAAGAATATATGTCAGAACGTCATTTTACTTTTGTTCTGCTGCCACCATGAAAGGGCAAAGACCAACACTGATATTCTTTTAAGAGAAATGGAAGGAGGCTAAAACCAGACACTTGTTGCTCTGCACATGGGCCTCCAAAGGTGTAGACTTACAAATAACCACTACACCACACCTTAAGACAATATGTTGGTCTTCATCCAAAGCCATCTTCCCTATTCCATGACTTCAAGAGATGCTCAAGAAAGCAAAAGCAAAGAATGGTAAGGAATGTAGGTGAGGGTAGGAAGAAAGCCAGCTAAGCCACATGGCGAGGCGATGGGCGGCGCAGGCTAGTCCATCAGGCCAAATGGGGCACTGCTCCACCAACCTCAGCCTGCCCTCAGCAAGCCCCCTCCTGCCCGTCTTCTTACACACAACCAGTCCAGGGGTGGAGGCAGCGCTGACTGTCACCTTGCCCCTCTATAGTCTCAGGGTTGCCTTTGTAGAACTCAGCAGTGGGGAGGAGGATGGGGACCAAACCAGAATTAGTTGGCTCTGCTCGTCATGGGCTATGACTCTACCTACTGTTCGGGCTCCCTGCCTTCCGCCCCACCATTCCCACTGGGCACCGGGCACCACTGGAGATAGGCCTCAAAAGGAAAGGAAGAAGGGGGAAAGTGCAAAGGGACTCACCCAAAAGTAGGTTCATGAGGACCTCCTGGCCTGCCAGGGTGCTGCTCTTCACCAGACAGATCAGCGTGCCGCCGATCCAAGGGATCCCATGCCCGGTGATCCCGATGAGGTTGATCATGGAGCGGGCATTGCCCCAGGACGAGGCGTTTCTGGCGCACACCCCAAGCCTCTTTGAGAGAGAGATGTCGATGGCCAGGAGGGAATTGTAGGCGATGCCTTTGAAGGAAGGGTTCAGTTGCATGCAGTCTTCCTCAGGCAGCTGCTGAGATTGCCTCCGCTCCTTGGCACCTTCGTTTGGGGCAGGAGTGGGGCCGGGCTGGCTGTTCTGCCTCCGGCCAGCACTCCTGGGCTCTTGGGCACCTTTCAAGGGCTGGTTCAGAGACATGAACTCAGCCCTGTTCAAGACATTGTTCCTGTCTCTCGCCCTGGCCCGACTTTGAGATGCCGGCATGGTGCAGGTCTCTCTAAAAAAGAAATTTAAAGAGAAGGGGGGAAAGAAAAAGAGAGAGAATCCTCAGACTTCTTCTTTCTTTTTTTCACCCCTCCCCAAGACCTGAGCAGCCCCTACCCCACCTCCCTCAAAAGTCATGAGCCTGGTAAGACGGGCAGCTGTTAAATATAGAGATAGGAATGCTCAATGCACATGGCTGTTTACTTTGCAGGCCCACCAAGCTTGGAGGAGGAGGGGCAGAGAAGAAAGAGATAAATGACAGTAACAGCAGCCAGTCTGGCACCTGATCAATGCCCAAGCAGCCAATAGGCAGGCATCAAAGGAGGGCAATTTGACCAGTCAAAAGGTTTGGTTGCTTCTGGCTTGGTCTATTTAAATCTTCCAATTGCTTGTTTCTGAGGGCCTCAAAGGAGGATGGGAAATGTAGTTCCCTCGCTTCCCTCTGCCGGTTTGCTACAGTTATCTTGCAATTAGTGTCACCGTGGTACAACTTTGGGGCGAATTAGGGGGTGGGGAGAGGGATGGACGGCTCTGTCAATTTAGGTTCTCTCAGCTTCTCTTTCTTCCAATCTTAATAATAATCTTACATCCAGTTCTCCATATTTCTGAAGTAATTTGTGAATCTCTTGGGGAAAACAAACCCTTTTGAAAATTCACCAGCATTTTAGTGCAAATATATCATTATAAACACATTTTAGTATGCAGTTTTGATGAATGTACCCTTTTTTAAAAAAATAAAAATTCTAACATAATGTGCTTTTGTGTATTATTTTAACTAATAGATTAATTTTTACGCACTTTCTCCTAATGTGCATTTTTTTGGTAAACATTGGTTAGCTGGGGAACTGCATCACAAAATTTGGAGAAGGGTGAATTTCAAAGACTAGCTGTGATTCAGCTTGCATATTGGTTGAAGAAGTACAAACCAGGTAATTTATAATTAAAATACAAAAAAACTCACAAAAATAGACAATTTCTTCCCTATCCCTGATAAAGGAGTAAGCTGCCACTTAAACAAACTGGTCTTTCTCTTGTGCCATATAAACTGTATGTGAAGTTTTCCTGGAGCAGTGGAAAAAGCTGCACCTGTTGGATTTCTGCTTTGTCAAGTTGCTGGAAAAGGCAAAAGCACATGGTCAGCAAAAAAGGTAGTAATCTTAGGTGTAAGATAATCACACAATGTTTGTTCCATATGTGCTCTGGAACTCCCTGACTACTGATACCAGGCAGGCGCCTTCACTATCCGTTTTAGATGCCTGCTTAAAACCATTCTGTTTCTGCAAGCCTTTCCATACACAATAATTAGGGGAAACCATGACTGTTTGAAGTAGTATAATATTGCTTTAAATGTATAGTGCAGATGGGGCTGAATTTTTACTCAGAGCAGGCCCACTGAAATTAAGGTACCTGTTAGTCATATCCATCAATTTCAATGGGCCTACTCGGAGCAAGACTTAACACTTGCTACAACCTAAAAACTAAACATAAAACAATTGTAGCTACATCATGTGTAGGCTATGATGTTGCTCTTCAGTCTGACCCCAAACCTTTGAGGCTGGTGTATTTATGTGTGGTTCCCCCACCTTCTCGTCTGACCAGTTCTTCTTCAGCTGGTCTCAACTCAGAGGGCCCCTCAAGGGGATCCTCAATGTTGGTTCTAGAGAGCCTGCCTGCTCCTAGGGTCCTCGGCCTATGAGGTCTCTGGTTTATTCTCTGGGAGCATCATGTGAAAAGCCAATCAGGCATGGGTGAGAGCAGGGATCAGCAAACATTTTCAGCAGGGGGCCGGTCCACTGTCCCTCAAACCGTATGGGGGGGCCGGACTGTATTTTGAAGCAAAAAATATGAACGAATTCCTATGCCCCACAAATAACCCAGAGATGCATTTTAAATAAAAACATACATTCTACTCGTAAAAACACACTGATTCCCGGACCGTCCGCGGGCCGGGTTTAGAAGGCTATTGGGCCAGATCCGGCCCTCGGGCCTTAGTTTGCCTACCCATGGGTGAGAGTGTTCCTAGTAAGGACCAAAGCCCACGTCCAGAGCTAGAATGAACCTGGAATGTCCTGTCCTGGTTACAAATAAGAGCACAGCAAGGCAGGTTGGTTGTTTCAGCACCATAGAGAACTCCATGTGAGCAACTTGCCACAACAATGGCTCTAGGTCAGGGGTTGTCAACCTAGCCCCTACCGCCCACTAGTGGGTGTTTCAGGATTCTAGGTGGGCGGTAGGGGGTTCTATGGCACAAGCTGAATCCTCCTTCCATTGAGCACTGGTGGGCGGTAAGGAAATTTTACCGTCAAGAAAGATGCATTAGTGGGCAGTGGGTATAAAAAGGTTGACTACCCCTGCTCTAGGTGAACTGAAGTTCTTTGAGCCTCTGCATCAAATCTACCTTTCCTTTGCAAACCAAGCTGAATTTCTTCCCCTGTACCCAGCCCCCAAGGCCACTGATCCCTCCCACATGTGACCTTATGGTGGTGTTTTGCCTACCTAAGAATCAACATTTAAAGAAAGGGCTGCAAAACATTTGGCCATCCAGATGTTGCTACACTACAACTCCCATCAATCTTTTAATTTTTTTAAACAGCCATCATTATTGAAAGTTAAAAAAGAAATACATAATTATATGTGAACTAAACATGGCAAAACGTAAATAAAAGAGAGAAAAAGAAAAGGAGAAGCAGCAGCTGTGTAGAAGGCAAAGTAAAAGTGGGGGGACGGGACCAAAACTGTATACTTTACAGAGTTGTTGTAATTCACCAGATCTTAACCTAGTACAGTATTTGTAAGAATGGGTTCCAACTATTGAATTTGTCCATGGCAAGTCTGCATTTATATGCAAGATGTTCATATGTTGCAAGTTTGTACAAGTCTTTGATCCAATTGTAGAAGGGAGCTGCATTTTTATTTTTCCAATTCACCAGTATCAGTCTTTTTGCCATGATAATGGCGCGGAGAGTCCACTCATATTGTCCTTTTGTAAGGATCCATGTGCTGGGTATATAATTTAAAAGAATATTTTCCCATGGTAAATGTAAGATCATTCTGTACAATTCTGTTGATGGATTCAGTTACCTTCTGTCAGAAATCTTTCGATACAGTGGTACCTCTGGTTGTGAATGGGATCCGTTCCAGAGTCCCGTTCACAACATGAAAAGAGTGCAACCTGCAGCGGCACGTCTACGCATGTGCAGGTTGCGAATTGCCACTTCTGTGCATGGGCGTGATGTCATTTTGCGTTTCTGCGCATGCGCGAGCGGTGAAACCCGGATGTAACCCTTTCCGGTACTTCCGGGTTGCCGCGGGACGTAACCTGAAAGAACGTAACATGAAGCGGACGTAACATGAGGTATGACTGTATAGGCAATAAAAAAACATATGTTTTAGAGAAACATTGTCCCTATTGCATCTCCAAAAGTTAGGTAGTTAGGTACCTTAGGTAGCCCTTTTTTAAACAAACGTAATGGGGTCCAGTATATTAAAAATATTATTTTTTGTTGTATGAACCTCAATTTAAGGTCCAGAGGCACCCTTGTTATAGCACTTAAAACAGTTTCCTACTGTATGGTCGAAATTGAGGTCTCTAATTCTTTATTCTATTCATCCCTCAATATGTGTACTGTATATCAGATTGGTAACTCCCATCAATCTTAGCAAGTGTGGTCAACAGTCAAGGTTAAGGGAGTTGTAGTCCTGTTAGATTTATTTATTTATTATTAGTCATGAAAAGTGTCCCAAAGTGATACAAAATCAGAACACATTCTCTCTCTCTCTCCACCTGTAAAAGCAGATCTTAAAAGGCAGATATAATTATATTTATTTTTTTACGCCACTTTGAATGAATACAGTATGTGCTCAGAAAAGTAGTATAGAAATATTTTAAAACAAAGGATTATATTACAGGGGGAAGCAGGATATATACGTAAGAAAAGTAAGATAGATTGATATATTTTGTCACTTGTTGGAACACATCTTGGTCATAGAAATTGTGTGTATATGTATGTACACACACACACACACACACTTCCCTTGTATGGCTTTTGTTTAATGGTGCATATACTGGCATAGGGACGCGGGTGGTGCTGTGGGTTAAACCACAGAGCCTAGGGCTTGCCGATCAGAAGGTCAGCAGTTCGAATCCCCGTGACAGGGTGAGCTCCCATTGCTCGGTTCCTGCTCCTGCCAACCTAGCAGTTCAAAAGCACGTCAAAGTGCAAGTAGATAAATAGGTACTGCTCCGGTGGGAAAGTAAACGGCATTTCCGTGCACTGCTCTGGTTTGCCAGAAGCGGCTTAGTCATGCTGGCCACATGACCCGGAAGCTGTACGCCGGCTCCCATGGCCAGTAAAGCAAGATGAGCGCCGCAACCCCAGAATCATCCATGACTGGACCTAATGGTCAGGGGTACCTTTACCTTTACTTATACAGTGGTACCTCGGGTTACATACGCTTCAGGTTACAGACTCCGCTAACCCAGAAATATTACCTCAGGTTAAGAACTTTGCTTCAGGATGAGAACAGAAATTGTACTCCGGCGGCGCGGCAACAGCGGGAGGCCCCATTAGCTAAAGTGGTGCTTCAGGTTAAGAACAGATTCAGGTTAAGAACGGACCTCCGGAACAAATTAAGTACTTAACCCGAGGTACCACTGTACTGGCATATTTATGTAAACAATCAATCAATAAATAAATAGCCAACGACCCTTTGTTATGAGAGTAGGGGTATCAAAAATATACAACAGCACCCCTAGATGCTGGAAAATATAGTTCCGTGGCAACCACGTGGCTCAGGAATACCCGAGGGGGAAAACGTTCCTTAGTTTCTAGGCAATGCCAATCTTGTTCCTTTCACCCAAATAAAGCATTGATCCTGCAGAGGGACTCAGGCAAGCAGTCCAAACCCTTAGCACCAGCAGTATCTAATTTCAACTACCACTGCATCCACAGGCCCCACTATTCCCAAAACCAAAAGCTGTTGGTCAGGGCAGGGGAGTCCTTTTGCTACGCCGGTTCCCAGACTGCAAATAGGCTTGGATCAGACCAGTAGCCATCACATGACAGCAGCAGAGCCTCGTCAAGATCCAGTAGGTCCACTGCCAACTTAGCAACTGTTTAAGCGAGAAGTCTGGAAGAGAGATTATTACTCTGTC